ATTATTTTGGAAGAATGTATTTTGGAATAGTAGATTGATGGAGAATGTGTGGTTGAAAAAGAAGGAAAAGTTATTGATGTGATGGAAAATATTATTTTAATGAAGAATGTGTGGTTGAAAATGAGTAGAAGAATGAGAATAAAAATTTTAATGGGTACCAAACAGGGGCTAAATATGTTATATTCTAATTTGTTGACATATAAAGTTGCTGGTTCATTCATATCTTGCAATTTTGACATTAGTTTGAAATTGTGCTAAGCATTCCTTGTACTGACTGTCAGGTTGGTTTTAGGGAGTATGAACCTCCAAGTTTTCCGGTTCCTCCACGCTCGACTGGGTAATGATCACTATTAACATTAATTCATCCACTTATTCAAATTTTTGTTTAGCCTGATGAAGTAGGTGGTGCTTTTTCTTTTAATTTCTATATTTTAGTTACACGAGTGTCAGCCATGCGATGGAGGCTTCAATTTCAAACAATGCTGTTAGTTCTGTCATGGGAACTGGAGGTAGCTATGTCCGTGAGGTGAGGTTTATTGACTTACGTTAAAGGAAGTCTTTTTGGCCCTGTATCCCTATTTTCACCTGGGATTGTGCTGGACCCCTCTACTATTCCTCTCTGTTTCTGCATTTTGATTCGTGCTGGGAAGTTTTGGGGTTTCTTTGAATATTTTATTGTCTTACATTCTTAAAAGATGTTGAATTGTGCTGCATGGTTGTTGGTTCTTTTTTTATGATTTATCTATATGTCCGCTGAGGATGAAATTATGAATTCCAATACAACAAGTTCTGCTCAAGTTACTTGTTTGGTGGATGCATAGCTCGTGTGAGAAAAATGAAATATACTATGTAATGCTATTAAAAGTTTAAATTGACCGGTCTGGCTTTGTGCATGGCCTGGCATGACGTGGTGGGCCGACGTCTTTACAACTCTAATTGCAATATTGTGCGAAACAAAAGGTAATGCAGATGTATTACTTTGTCTCTATACATCAAATAGAAGCAATAAAGGGATTATTGGATAAAATTCTGATCTCGAATATACTCTGCTGTTTGACATCTATTAACATTAAGCCACTCATAACAGGGAATTTAAATTTATATGAGGGCTAGAAAGCACCAACAGGAATAACTCAAAAATAATTATATTTTCGGTGAACTGGGAAATGTTTCTAAAGGGGGTCATTTGAAATAATTAGTCTGCCTTTTGTAATTTTTGAACTTATAAGCAATGTGCTTGTGTTATAAACACTGAGAGCCTTTTTGAATCCCATTTTCGGCTAAAAATGCATTTTGGAATAGTAGATTGATGGAGAGTGTGTAGTTAAAAAATAAGAAAAAAATTTGGGTTTGCGTTTAATATTATTTTATTGAAGAATGTGGTTAAAAAGAAGAGAGAGAAACAAATATTTTGTAAATAATAAGGATCAAACAAGGGCTAAAATGAGTAACTTATTATTACTAGCTTATAGTTTCTGTTATGGACAACCCCGAACATCCCCCAATAACAATCTAATCATGGCCTCAACAATTTTATCGAGCCATAACTCTAAATTTTGAGTAATGCTATTTAGCACCACCATTGTTTAATACTGATCTAAGTGGTATGAGGTATCATTTGTGTCATTAAATTATAGGTTCAATTAAATACAAAAATTTATAACTCATTTATTATGACCTATCACATATTTACACCTAGACTGGTACTCTATCACCACTGGTGCTAGATAACACTATTTCTAAATTTTATGAAGGTGGTAGCTCCCTTTATTACACAATTCTTATGATGCAACTGTATACTATCAACTTTCTAATGATTGATGATCTTAGGGTACAAAAATCATTAGTTAGAAATAGTCAAGTTGCTCACACTTTAAATGTCGTTACCTTTTGACTACAATGAGGTTACTCTATTATTAGCCAGTAATAATTTTTATTAGCTAGAATGCATTGTTTTTGAAGGCGTTTGTTGTGCTTCATGCATCTTTGACGCGTAGGTTTAAGCCTCGTACAGTCAGATGCGAGGCTTACTACTTGACACATTGTACCTCAAGACTTATGATGGTCGTGCTTCGATTTTAATGGGCTTGGACAGTGGATTTTTTTCTATTTAACATTGAGTTTATGTATCTACTTTAGGGTGTGGGTATTATTTGGATTTGAGACTTCGAAAAACAGCATTATGATTTATCTGCGAAGAGTGGATTTTTGTGTTTTAGTGGGATTTTTATTTACTTTAGGTTTTGGGTATTGTTTTTGAACGCACGGCAAAGGAACTTCAGATTCACTATCAAAGTTTTTGATCATACTTCTTGAGTGTCAGTGTGTCGGGATGTGAACATAATGGTGGCACATTCAAAAAGTACATAATGGAATAGAATCGCTTAAGCACATTGAGATGAACAATTTAGCATACGTGTGCAACACAAAATTGAAGGACAAAACTACGAAGTCGAAGGCACTTATGGAAGATGGGGTTCTTGGCTAGTGGATGAGCTTTTGCTAGATAATGAGTTTTTGTTGATAATTGTGAGAGTGATCAAGCAAGTGCAACAAGAGAGAGTGACAGAGACCTTAATGTTGTTGACAAGAGCATGCCATTAGTAACAGGAGCACCGAACTGCTTATAAAAACTAAAGAAAAATTAAAACTAATAGAAATATTGAGAAACATTAACAATTAGCATCTAAGCCAATATCTGTATGTTTATCCTTGTATTGTATTTATTTTACTTAACTTATTATTCTTTGATTTAGGCAATGAAGTACTAGGCCTTGAGAAAGAAGGGAATGAGAGGACATTGTTAGTGATAACATGGATGATTGAGGGATAAAATATGATTTCAACTCCGTAAAAGATTCTACTAGTTACTATGATATGAACAATTTTTTTAATTTTCCTCATATTTGATCTATTTCTTGGCTTCAACTTATTGCTTTTCCAACTATGGGATTTCATATTCAGGGGTAACTTTATGATATTTTGAAAACATACTTTGTCATTTTTAGTTTGGAATTTAATGTAGGGTTATATTTTGAAAATTCATACTTCTCATTATATTTATGAATTTTCGAGTATTCATTTTATGGCTTACTCAATGCACCTTGACTGTGATGGCAAAATGCTCAATACCTGTTTAGACCTTTTACTCAAAGTGAGCTTAAATAAAGGTTGTTTTTATAGTGGAGTTCGCTGTTTCAAGTTACTGGTGAAAGATGTTTGCTGACAGGCATCAGTAGTAACCATGACACCTAAACATACAGATCACTGCATTTCGTGCTTCCAATATTCAGTTAATAGGGCATTTTGGGACAGGCATCAGCAGTTCCAAAGCCATCCTTTGTAGCTTTTTTGCATACTAAACTCCAAAATATTAGAATTATGCACTTACACGCTTAAGTTAAACATTTCCTCAGTCACCTTGAGGGGTTGCTTAATTGGTCATACATTGGGTTTGCTCCCCAATGGTCATCAGTTTAAGTCTCCTCAGGACTACTGAGGTGAGTATCCTACAGTAAATTTCAGAGCCTCGTTGGATTAGTCGAGGTGCGCGTAAGCTGGCCCTGATATCTATAGTTATCAAAAAAAAAAAACATTTCCTCAATCAGCTCTGTGCGTATTTTCTCACCTGAGACATGTATCTAACTTTTCAGCTATTTGCATGTCAAGCTTATATGCAATCACATTACGGGTGTTTCAATTATTAGTATGTTCAAGTTATAGTGGTGACATGTTATCTTTAGTACAAGAATGGGGGCAAAACTAATTATTATTCCAAGTATTGTTTATGTTGATGTAGTTGATAATTTTTCCTTTAAAATTCTAGATTGCTGGGACAAGGATGAAGCTCCAGGATCCCCGTTCTGGTGGTGCTGATTTTGGGGCTTCCAAGCATTTCAATGCCTCACAAAGTTCACACCTGTCATTTGCTTCTTCTACTGGACCCAATAACAGTCATTATCAAGGTGTCTATCAGAGCTATAATTCTCAGTACGGGACATATCCAAACATGAATCCTTCTCAAGCCCCCTATTATGACTCTAATCCTCAACAAGCTGTGTACGAGAATGTATTCTCGCAGCAGGGTCCTTACCAGAATCCAAGTACTCAAGGTCCTTATCAATATTGATGCCCAATTTGGACAATGTGTCATATTTTGATTGTGTTATGTAATAGTTTCCGAGTCTCAAATGTTTGTGATCTTAGAATTAGCTCTTGCATTTAGCTGCCTAACATAACTGATGAGCAGCCCTTGTACTTATCTCATCACACTACTCTTAGCTGTCTTTAGGTGAAGATTACAGTGACAATTTTTTGTCCAACTATGAATATTTAAGTCTGCGGGTGATCTGAATTTAGTATTATTTGTTCAAATTCATACTCATCTTCTATTTCCTAATCCACAAAAAGAAAAAAGGACAGCCCGTTTTGCTGTGTCTACATCAATAAAAAGAAAAATTCATCTTTTCTGGACAGTATGAATGGTCAAGGTGTTAAGAGAAGCTGAAGATTTTGGCTTCTTTTCTAGCATATTTGCTTAGTCACATGCCTTTAGTGTTTTTTTCTTTCTTCTTTTTCCTTCTAATTAAGCACGCACTTTTTGCATGCTTCATGTTTTGTATAACATGATTGTGATATATTTAAAGCTTGATTGACAGGATTTTTTTATTTTTAAGAATGTGTGATCAAAACATGTGGGTGGGGGGAAGTTGTGAGTTTCATAGAATGTATGGTTGAAAATGATTTTGTAGAAAAGTGATTCTAAAAAAAAAAATTGTGCCAAACAAGGCTTGAAAGTAATCAGCTTTGACTATCTTCTCCTCTTGGATATGGCATTTACCACGAGGTAAATCTTGCTTAAATTTTTGCAGGGCATGAAAGCCAAAAGCCATGTATAAATATTGACGTGGAATACTCATTTGAGCAAAAAAAGAAAAGCTTTTTATGTTTTACAAGGATCTTGAGGCGATGTAGTTTATGAACCTCGACCTCGTACCTTCATCGGCACGGCCATCAGTTGGGAATAATGTTAAGCAAATAATTGACAATAAATGATAATTTCAATTAAATGTAGTATTATGAGATCCATTTAATTTGACCTATAATGTGTTATCACATTGAGTAGTGTTTTAGCACAAACAATACTATATATCATTACTCGACAGCTGGCTAAGCTTTGGTGTTATATCCGTAGATACAAAATAAAGATGTGAGAACACAAGCAAAACACGGATCGGTGTTGGATTACTAGCGGAAAACCAAATTCTTGTTTAAATTTGTTTTAAAATATAAAGCAAAATAACTTGGATTTTCTGTCGCACGAACATTTCCACTAGATTTTGCATGTTCATGTCCGGCGCATGTCATGTTGAATACAAACGCTTATTAGACATTCTATTATAGTCATTTTGACCAAAACATCCACGAAAAGAAAATCAGATATCCACTTCAATCTGTACCAGGAAGATTCCTTCAAGTGTAGCAACGCTGATATAAGGGAAAAGTCTTGTCTAGACTGTAGACCACAATTGGATGATATGCCAAATTATCTTCTCTAAAGATAATATAAGCACAAATTAGATGCACAACCTAGCACATTAAGCCAAAAAATCACACTCATCTACGTATTCTGCTCCAACTTTCTACACATTTGTCCAATGGGTATAGTTGGCAATCATTTAAGAGCAAAAACTCAGATTCTTAGAGATCCCTTCCCATCATGTATTCATTCTTCATTTGTTCCAAGACATAGTCGTTCGTGCTACAGGAGAACAAGAAAAGGCGAATGTTAGACAATTTAAGTGAAATTTCGAGTTTAGTACAAGAATGTAGTTTGTGAAACTGGGTTCAAGGCAAATTATTAGTAATGGACTTCTCATCTATTTAAAATCTAAAAAAGCTGCACAAAGAAAAATGTCATCATCGAAACAAATTCCATATTTATAAAGTTTTCATCTTCCAGAAACTAAATTAAGAGGTTTTCTATGTAATCAGTGATAGAAAGATCAACAACTTAAGAAAATAACCTGTAAAATGCAACAGTTTTCTGCAAATAGCAAGTATGCAACTACTACATCATGAATTATGTAGCCTACATCATGAATTATGTAGCCTCACTATATACGAATAACTATCTTCAATGGAAGTTATCAGTGCTAGCATTTTTTGGTTTGTTTTTCCTTTTTCTCTTCTTTCATATAAATATGTTTTTCCTGCAGGGCTGAGGGTGGATGGGGCTGCATGTGGAAATGATTTGGATTACATTAGCATTTCATTCCAATAAAATAGCCTTCCAATATGCCATCACATTTAGCTATAGATGCATGTTCGTCTCTATAGTCTAAAATGCTTTTGACCACTAGGTAGCTTCCTTGTGAGCTTTTGCCTACTTAATAATCTGGGATTGATAGAACTGCATTGTGATGTTCTTTATCTCTACATATTAATGAGTGCAGTTACGTGTACAAAGTTGACATTAGCATAATATGCCCAATTTGCTTGAGGATAATTTCATACTTTGCTCTTATGATATTAATACTAGCTCAATTGAGAATCCTCTTTCACGGGACCTTGAAATTGAACATAGGAGGAATAAATAAAACTACTATTTTTTTGTATTTCAGCATCAAATCCCATTTAGAGATAGATAAAATAATATTTCAATTTTTGTCAACTGACCAGTGGCCTTGGGAAATTAGAAGAACCTTTCCAAAATTCTCAAAAATTTTCTGGTTTTCTTGTAAACATTTCTACAAGCATAATATCAAGCTCATCAAGTCTTTCAAAATACATATGAGAAAACTTACTACTGATGAAGGCATTGATTTAATTGATTAGCTCGTTCACGACATTTCCAAACAACTGACATTGTTCTCCCGGAGGCACATTCAGCATATTTTGCTGCATAATTTTCACATTCCTTTAGTGCCTTCTGCTTCATTTTACTGCGCAAAGCTGAGGTTTTTTTATGAATGAATTATTGCATCTTACACATGAACTCAACAATATAGACATGCAAAGTTATGCAAAGTGGTGATATCTTCTTTGCAACATAACCGTACACATCAAAACAGATTCAATGGTGGATACATAACACAATAAGATAATCTTTGATGGCAGACAGTCATCACAGCTAAATAATCCCCAAAACAAGGCGAAACATGGTGAATATTAACAATTAGATGACCATGCCAACTGATCTAGGGAGATGCAAGCTCTTTCCAAATATATCCAAGGATTACTGTACTGTTGAATTGGATTGTACTGTTCTATGTTCTCAATAGAATTGGTGATATCTACAGTTATCTCAATGGAATTGGTGACCCGTTTCATGCAATAAGAGCTGAGAACAAATGATAATCCAATAAATCACTTCACAGAAGTAAATGAAATGCATCAACGTCATGTGATTTGAACATAAAAACCACGAAATAGGGCTTAAGGAATATATGAATAATTAATTAATCAAATAATTTTACCTTCCTCAACTTTCTTCTTGACGATATTTTCTCTGGCTTCTTCTACGTGTCCCATTACTGTACCGATTAATTGAACACTCCGCTGTCGAATCTCTTCGGTGGACTCAGCTCTGTGTGCTGGGGATTTGGCCTCCGAGACAATTTTTTTCCTCTGTAAACAAAAACAGTTAATTGTAATCAATCCCCACTATTTTCAAATTTTATTTATGGGGTTTACATATTTGTAGAAAGGGTACGTAAATTTACTATCAACTTATTTGAAATTTGATTAATTTATGTCAAAATCAATAATTAATTTTAATTATACATTTTGTAGGCTCCACGACTTTTCAATCACACGTTACATTAACTTTTATCAAAATCTAATAAAAATCTAATTTTAATCTCTATCAAATAGAGGCTAAATATCCTAATTGTCAACTATATTGTTTCTCAAAATATTCTAATATTCGTTTAACCTTTAAAATATTTTTGAGTTCATTAAATTTAATAAAAAACTATACAATTAGTTGTGGCAATCGAGCCGAGCGGCTCGACAGCTCGGCTCGTACTGTAGCAGCCCACGAGCCGCTCGGGCTCGTAAAAAAACTAGCCCGAGCACGAGCCGAGCAAGCCGACTCGGTAGGCGAGCCGGGCCTGCTCGGCTCATTTTTGACGAGCGGCTCGTTTTTTTAAAATTTTTTTTTTTTGAGAATGATAGTTTAAAAAAAAAATTCAAAAAAAACTAGCTGAGCCGAGCCGCTCGGCTGAGCTCGCTACAGTACGAGCTAGTGGGCAGAGCCGAACTCGCCCACGAGCTCGAGCTCGTGTGCAACGCTTGGCTCGGCTCGTTTGCCACCGCTATATACAATCAATCACTAGTTGTTGACAGACTTGACGATATGTCAGATGCACGTAATATACTTTCGACGTTAGTTTATGCCACGTCATTCAGTGACTAATGACGTTGGTTTGATACCAACATAATACAACTTGAATAGATTAAACATATTTTATTACTTTTGAGTAATAATAAGAATATACATTACTTTTGTGTGGTTGGGCATTTGATTGTACAATCATGTTTCATATACAATTTTTTTACAATATTGTTGACAACATATCACTTGGAATGTTATCATTTGACAGTTCAAAAAATAATTTCTCTTTCCAAACAATACTTTTTTGACATATATAACATTGTCAAAAATCACTGTACAAATTATTTCGTTTTATCTTTTTTCCCACCTTTCGAAGAATAAATTCCTCCTATCGTTAACGATGGTTTCATTAAGTTCTTGCCAATAACCACGTCCGCTGAATAGAAACATCAAATTAAAATTCGAAATGAACTGAAGATCAATTAGAATTCAATGCAATTCTTCGTATATAACTTATGGCTGCATATGTTAATATATTTTAAATTGTTTTAAGTTCTTATTTATACTTAAATATTTGATTGCAAATATTTCTTCATTTCTTCCTTTGTTTTGTTTGTTGTTAAGAGGAGAGTAAGTCCCTTTTGAGAATCATTAAAACAAAACTCTTTTTAATAATGTATTTTCACAATAAAGTATTTTGCACGTAAATTCAAAAAAAATTCTTACTTTTAAATCACACAATCTCTAAAAACTCACTATTTTAAAATTCATTTCCTCCAAAATATTTATTTTATTAGTTGTCAAACACGAGCTAAATTTGTCATTTTACAAGAATTTAACGAATGAAATGGAAGATAAGGATGTTTCGTGAAAAGAATTATCGATCTGAAAGTCCAAATATCAAAATTAAAACGATGGAAACGATTTATCAAAGAAATCAAATGATATGAATATTTTGTGCCAATTATTCTATAAATTTTAAATTATTTCTTAATTGAACTTATCTCATTAAAATTTCCAGCGATACGGCAAGATTGAAGAGGTTTAAAGCGCGTTTTTTTTTTAAAAATTATAATTTAAATTGGTCAAATGTGATTTGTATTTACACATTTTGTAGAATTTTGCTACTCACTTAGCGTTTGTTTGATAAATTTTAGGGAAAATTGCAGTCGCGGTACCAAACCCTTAATTTTTTTGCAGACTTTGTCCAAACCTTTGTTTTGTGCCACTCACAATATCAAACCTTTAAAAAATTTACAGCTACAGTACTCATTGACAGTTTCCGTCCGTTTGACCAAGAAAATCGTTATTTGACCCCAGAATTCAAAAAAAAAAAAATTGATTAATTTTTTTAATCAAACCTTTGTTTGATTAATGGATTTTTCGAAACAAGGGCAATTTTTTGAATTGTGGGGTTAACTAACGATTTTCTTGGTCAAACGGACGGAAACCATCAAAGAGTACTGTAGCTACCAATTTTTTAAAGATTTGATACCGTGAGTGGCACAAAATAAAGGTTTGGACAAAGTCTGCAAAAAAAAAATGAAAGATTTGGTACCGCGAGTGCAATTTTCCCTAAATTTTATTAACGGTCAAATTTTAAATTTAACCTCACATTTTATAACTTTTTTATCATACATTTTTTAACGACTTTTATAAAAATCTATTAAAGTTTTTCACCGAAACCTTTGTGAAACCACCTTTTAATATGCACATATTTACAACATGTTTGAGCCCCTTTTTCGATGAGAATGTATTTTGGAATAATAGATTGATAAAAAATGTGTAGTTAAAAAATAAGAAAAAAGTTTTGCATTTTAAGCGTAATATTATTTTATTAAAGAATATATAATTGAAAAAAAGAGAGAAAATTGTATTTTAAAAAAAGAAAAAAAGGAATCCAATAAAGGCTTAATAATGCTCGCTACTTATAAACACTTAACCTTGTTTGATAGAAATTAAAATCAGATTTTTAGTAAATTTTGATAAAAGTTGATAAAATGTGTGAGTGAAAATTTATTGATTTATGAAATATGTGGTTAAAATTAATTTTTGTCTTCGACTTGAGATTTTAAATTGATTTTTACCCAAACCAAACAGTGGTTTAAAAAAGGACCAATCCAGCAATTCCGTATGACCTCGTCCATTGTCACGTAGCCTTGATGCCAGCCAGGCTCATCAAAACTCATAGATAAAATGACAAAAAAAGGGCTTTGACGAGGCATTGCCAACGTGTCGCCATCCACCAACCGTGATTTCCTGATTGGACGGCCCAATCTCTTCGCTCACGCCTATTAATTATTTAAACCTCTTCACTAGTCTCTTCCTCCTTGTTTCTCATAGGTTATTAGCAGAACAAAAAACTCCGATTCAACGACACCCAAGAGGTATGTGTTAATTTAATTTCAATTTTCCTTAGCCGTATAATCTATATTCATGTAACTGTGAGGATTCAATATATATATTTGATTCTTTGTTTTTGTTCTTCGTAGATTTTGTATTTTCGTATTTTAGAATCACAGATCTGAGGTTTCTAATTACAACAGGTTTCGTTTGATTTACTGTTTGAGAGATCTTCTGTCTGCTGAATTTGTGTGTTATTGAAATGGCGTGTATTAAATGAAACGGAAGATAAAATAGAGTGTGTGAAATATGGCATTTATAGTTGTGTTTCTTATTACGCTTTTATGATTCAATCGGAACTTTATAAATTATGTTTACACCAATAATATTATGGGTAGGAATAATTGAATCTGTGTGAGTTGCGTGCTATGATTTTACCTCAAATCATATTATAGTAATAGAGTAGAGGAATCTGATGGGCGCATATTTAGATAAATTTTCGGGTTATTCTTTTTGTATTTTATGGATGATTTTTTATTGGGAATCATGCGATTCTCCTCTTTTTTAATTTTATTGTATGCTCATTATCCTGATTTTATTTATATTTTTGCTATTTGAAAATTTAGGATTATAAGATGCAGTTTGTTGAATGAAAAGCATTTTAATCAAAGTTAAAATTGTGCAGTTAAATACAAAGCTGAGGTTTTATCTTAGATAATAGTATTGTAAGTTAGTTTCTTCATCGATGTTTTGGCATATTAATTAGTATTTCGACATTTCAAGGTTCTCCAAAATTTGTGCAGATTTGAGTATTATATAGCACATTCAAAATGTCGCCAGCTGATTCGTCACGCGAGGAAAATGTATACATGGCCAAATTGGCCGAACAGGCTGAGCGCTACGAGGAAATGGTTGAGTTTATGGAGAAGGTAGCAAAGACAATCAGTACGGAGGAGTTGACTATCGAGGAAAGGAACCTCCTCTCTGTGGCATACAAAAACGTTATTGGTGCTAGAAGGGCTTCATGGAGAATCATCTCTTCCATCGAGCAGAAAGAAGAGAGTCGTGGGAATGAGGATCATGTCAATGTAATTAAGGAGTATAGGGGTAAGATTGAGGCTGAGCTCAGCAAGATCTGTGATGGGATTTTGAGCCTTCTCGAATCCCACCTCATTCCCTCAGCTTCATCTGCCGAGTCCAAGGTGTTTTACCTGAAGATGAAAGGTGATTACCACAGGTATTTGGCTGAGTTCAAGACAGGGGCTGAGAGGAAGGAAGCCGCTGAGAGTACTTTGGTAGCATACAAGTCGGCTCAGGTGATTTATTTGTGTTGAGATGATGGGTTTTGTGCTCATGGATTTATTTACGTGGACCATTTTGAGTTTTTCTTTATTTGTATAATGCAGGATATTGCATTGGCAGACTTGGCTCCCACTCATCCAATCAGGCTGGGACTTGCACTGAACTTCTCTGTTTTTTATTATGAAATCCTTAACTCACCAGATCGTGCTTGCAACCTTGCTAAGCAGGTATTTTGGGAATGTTTCTACATGCTGTGATTGTTTCATTGCTTGGTCGTTTCTTTATAACCTTATGATAACTATGAGCTTGACTATTTCTCTTAGTAAGTGTCATTGTCTTGGAGTGCCTTTGGACGTGTATAGTTATAATTTTTGGTCATTTCCCGTGTTGAAATTAATGGTAAAAAACGAAACTTAACTTCTACGATTGGAGCTTCATTAAGGACATGATAGTGTGAAATGCAGGTTTGGCTTCTGTAGATAAAAGATGAAGTTTCAAAATAACCTTCTTTTAACGGCCAAAGTGATGTTTTTAGTTTTTCTCAGTTAGAGAAGGCTAATATCTTTTTTATTTGTTTGTTTAAATTACCTTCTCTAGCCAATTATTCCATTAGAATGGTGGTTGGCGTTGACTTGGCTGACGTGAGGATGCATTCTGACTTGAAAATTTTTCACAAGTTGAAGAGAAGTGTATTTTATTATTATTTAATACAGGGACTCCATTTAAAGGTGCTAAACAATTTGACTATTTCTCATTTTATTTTTGTCTTGTCATTGAGAAATATCTCTCTATATAAAAATTTGAAGCCTTTACTTGCATTTATAATGTTTGTCTGCTTGCCAACAATCTTATCGTCAGTCCATGTTGTCTGTGTTATGCCAATCAGTTGATATTCAGAAGATTAAGCGTATGACTGTTGAACTGATTATAGATGTCTTAGGTATTGATACAATACTATACAACTTTGCCTGAGAGCATGGCATATCTCTCTGTGTTTTTTATTTTCCTTGTCATTCCCTCATATTTTTGTTCTACTTATTATTATTTTGGTGATCAGTGCATTTTGTGTTTATACTCTCTCTCTTTGCCATGTATCACCAGTCTGATTTTTCGTTTATAAACCTGCTCGACTCTCATGTCTATAATACTTGTCTTCAGGCTTTCGATGAAGCCATTGCTGAGCTAGACACATTGGGTGAGGAATCGTACAAGGACAGCACATTGATCATGCAACTTCTTCGAGACAATCTCACTCTTTGGACTTCTGATATAACGGTATATCCCAAAACCTCCACAAATTTTCTGCATCACTTTCTTACTCCATCTCCCCTGAGATTCCCTCGTTCATATAAACTCTACTTTCCCTGGATTTCATGTGCTGCCACGATATTATTCCATTTTAAGGCAAAGTATACAACTTTTAATAGATTACGTTTGTTGTATAAGTCTCAACATTTGTGGTTTTGAGGAGTAGATTAGTTCTTTTAGAACGAGAGAATTGATCAGATACTCCAATCCTCATCATAAACCAACGCTTCTAAGACATTATTTGTTCATAATGTTTTCTTACACGGTCACATTAAATATGGATTGAATTTGGATTAGTTCCTGAAAACATTCATGTATAAGATGCCATGTCACTTATAATTCTGCATTTTTGTGTTTATTTCTTTTGCTATCAGGATGATGCTGGGGACGAGATCAAGGACGCTTCGAAACCTGAATCTGGTGAGGAACAGCAGTGACAAATCAGTAGCGATGTAGAATTGTGAGCAACATTTGTTCTACCATTGAATTTCTTCTGTTGTAGCAAGACTCGAGGGATTTGGTATGTTGAGTGCAACGGTCCCTTGAATCTTGAAATGTTTTTGTTATAAGAACATACGATTGGTGATAAGGCAGTGAGGTGGCGTGCAAACGTATTTTATTTGTTATGGTTTTTTATTTTATTTATTATTATTTGTACTCTATTTGTCGGTTGCACTGAGCAATATGTATTGGATTGGAGGATCAAATTTATTTTAAGTTTAATGATTTCTGTCATACATCATTTGAATTCAACCCTCGTTAAAAATTATAACCCACGAGAACCAAAGAAACAAACACTTGAGAAGAGTCCTATTTCTCTATGCCCTCCCATTATAATCTACTTGGAAACAAGACTATCGATAATGAAGTTAAATGGCAATGCAATTTGCCATTTTTAGCCATTTCAGTGGCCTTTTTATCCATTGCCAACGCAACTTCAGGCAAATTACATGGGTTTTTGTCTTTGGTAGAACAGATGTCAATACATAAATTGTGCGCACATCGGCACATGCATGCACGATTCAGTGACAAGTGGCATACATGCACTTGAAAATGATATGAATGTGTAAATGATTTGACGTCAAGACGTGTTTTCACGTATATATGTACATGTAACATTCTATAAAAGTTATCCTTACTCGGTATCAATGAAAAAAGTTACCTAGCATGCTGCTCATCTTCAGTATATTTATAGCAGATAGAGTGGAGGTTCAATAATAAGAAGTAAAGAACTTAACAGCAAAAGAAAGAAGGAGAAGCACATAAGTGATTTGCAAGGATCAGCATATCGTCTAACAAGTGTCATTCTTTCTTCTTGACCAGTATCCGAAGATGCATCTTTCACTTGCAGACTTGTACAGGTGAAAAACCCATAAACTATACCAGTAAAAGCTGCTCCAAAATGTGACCTGCAAGCACCATACTCGGTGAACATCACCTCAGAGAAAATCAGATTACTTGATAATTTTTCTACTAATAATGAGCATAATTGAATTCCGTTCGATGAAAAAGATTATGAGTTTGTGATGGTACTTCTATTCTTTCTGAGTAAACCTGCATAATTGGTTGCTTACCAGTCATCAATTGGACCAAAGTTGCTTAGAACAAAGCTGAGAGCTGTAAAAATAATTGCCTTCTGAAACATGCTTTCAGAAGCCTCAGTTGCAATAACATCTCTGTTCTGAACTTGATAAATTAGCCAAGCTCCAATTAAAGCAAATGCAGGTCCCTAAGCAAGAATAAACTGATTAAACAGTAGCTATACATTGCATAAAGATCATAAAGAAAGAATTTGAGACGAATGATCTATGCCTATTTATTTGGTTTGATGAATAGTCAGCCACGATGCAAACTTCAAGCACACTCTAGGCATGCCTTGATTTACAGAAATAAAAAAAAAAACGAGATTTACGATATTAATTGACAATTATGTATGTGTAACATGCAGCATCATACCGTTCCACCAAGAGTTGGCTCTGGTATGTGCAGAAAGCTGATCAGGTTTCCAGAGAATACTCCAAGAATATAGATCAAGAAAAATGTAAATGAACCATATTTTCGAGATACTTCGAGTCCAAAAGTGAAGAGAAACCAGCTACCAAGGGCTGTGAAAGATTCCTGAGTGCTGGAAATAATAAAAATTCATAAAAGTAAAAAATTAAATTAAGTATATCTTAAATATGAAGAGGAATGAATCCCACTTTATAAACAAGAGTTCATATTGTTTTGTAAGGTTTAACTCAGTTCACAATCTTGATTTAAGTGGACATAGGAGCACAAAAAAGGAGCAGTGAAATTAATGCCTTTGTACTGCTACAGCCACATGTTAAATGTGTGTATGTGGGCTATAACTTGTGAAGTACAAAACTACACTACGTAATAAATCTAATATAACATAAATCAGAAAAGGAGACTAATGACTATTTCTTCATGCAACAAATGATAAATACACTGACTAATGACTATTTCTTCATGCAAAAGATAATATTTGGGTGTGAACATGTATTCACATGTCTTCTAGTATCAAACTTAGATAAATAGAGTTACGTCTGCAGATGCATTTAGCTAATATTTCATTCTCAGGTAATTCTCTTCAGTGCATAATTCCAAACAATTGCAACTTCAATTATCACAATGCTCATCTGCGGAAAGTTAATTCTATGCCTTCATTGGCTTATAACTAGAGGAAGTGGGGACATATTGCATTATCCGTTAATATTAATTTTTGACACAACAGTTTTTATTTAAAAAGTTCTAAATTAATGATAGAATTG